CATAGGCTGGTGTGCTTCTTCCATGTGGGCTTTGTTGCTTCTGAGCAGGCATAATTTTGTCTTAGTGCATGACCAATGTTGAAATTGATTCTCAGGATACCTTTCTTTTTTTTTTTTTTCTCAGGATACCTTTCTTTCATCCTTAATACCTTTCTCCCATCAGCCAGTGATATTTTAAGGAATGTGGATTCAGGGTCTATGTTTTTGATTTTTTCTTTCTAGCCAATTCCTATTATTAGTTTCTGCTTTTTAAAAATTGTGATCAGAGTAAACGCTTGGTGTTATTTCAGCGTTTTGAGTTTCATTGAGTCCTGCTACGTGGTCTAAACTGTAGTCTATATGATAAAGAAGACTATGAGCTTTGGAAAAGAATGTATACTTTGCTGCTGTGGGGGTAGTGCTTTGTGTATGCCTATGAAGCTGAGTCGTTGATTGAGGCATTTAGATCTTCTGTATCTTCGCTGAGTTTTCCTCCTAGTTTGTCTGCCATTTATGGCTCCATGGGAGAAACAGGAGAATTGCAGCTCCAATAAAGGTGGCTTTTTTCTACCCATCTGCCCCTCTCCGTCTCTTTGCTGGAACACTCCATTCCTTCCCATGCATAGTTGAATGTCAATAGATATGAGTTCACTGTCATTTGGTTGTGCTTTTTCTTTTGAAGAAGTTCTGTAATTGATATCCTACAGCAAAAAGTAAGACTATCAATTCAAATTTCAGTTTCTGGGCCAAGTATTCAGGATACCAACAACCAAATAAAAAATCGCCATGATCTACTATGATGTGTAAATGAGTCACCATGATGAATAAACTTGTAAAAACTAATTCAGAATACTTAAAGATATCTTTATAATTAAAAAAATACATTTAACAGTTCATTGCTTGTATTTGATTGTTCTATATTCCGCTTTAAGCAACAAGGAAGGGCAAATAGTTCCAGTTTCTAGAAGGAAAAAAAAGGTCATTTGCCTCTCTTATATTTAGAGAAAAGAGTGAATTTGTCAAGTGCAGGGCTATCTATTCCCATACAGAGTTACAGTCTTGGAAACTCACAGGGGCAGTTCTACCCTGTCCTATAGGGTCGCTATAAAATAGCATCTACTCAATGGCAGTGAGTTGAGAGTGAGATAGTTTTGCTTAGATCCACAATCAATTCTCATGGGAAAGGTGATAAAAAATAATGATGGTCACTTTCATGACATAGATTGTGGCCCATCTCCTGGACAAGACCTCTTTAAAATGTTAAAAAGCAAAGCTGTCCCTTAGAAGACTAAGATGCACTTGGCTCAAGTGATGCTACTTTCAATCGCCTCATGTACATGTGAAAATAAATAAAAAATTTTAAATGATGCATTTGAATGATGGTGTTGGTGAAGAACATGGAAAGATCAATCAACTGGCAATTGAATAAAAATATCTGTTTTTGAAGGAATACAGCCAGAATGAATACTCTTTAGAAGCAAGAATAGAAAGATTTGTCTCACATATTTTGGACATGATATCAGGAGAGATCAGTCCTTGGATAACGATGACCTTTGAAGAGAGAGAGGGCAGATGGTTGCAACAATGAACTCCATTGTCACACAATTGTGATGATGGCACAGGACTGAGCAGTGGTTCACTCTGTTTTGCACATGATCACTATTAGTTTGGGCCAACTAGGTGGCATCTATCAATAATAACCACATACTTAGAATTCATTTTCCTATATCCAGAATTAATCATTACATTTCTGCCTAAAATAACCAGAAAATAAAATCGATAAAGAAATAATAAGGAATTTTCTCATTTTCATTTTCTTGGGACCATTGCTTATAGGCTCACTCTCGGCCTAACAGTTACTAGGAACATGCCCTCCTCCAGACTGCAGGTGAATGTCACTAGGTACTCTTAGGAAAGAGCAGAAGAATAACTCTGTCCCGGATCTGTTTGGTCTTGACTCCATAAACAATAGGGTTGAGTGCAGGTGGGACGATTACAAACAGGTTGGCAAACATAATGTGAAAGGTACGAGGAACATTATGTCCAAAGCGATGGGCAAGGATGGAGAAGAATGCTGGGATATAGAACATGAGGATGACACAGACATGAGAGCCACAGGTGCCCAGGGCCTTCTGGCGGGCGTCTTGAGAGGGAAGACGAAAGACAGCCGAGAGGATGAGAGTGTAGGACACAGCAATTAGGACAATGTCTATAATGACCATCATCATAGGCACACAAAATCCATACCAAATATTGATGGAAATATCAGCACAGGCAAGGCGAGCAACACCTATGTGTTCACAGTATGTGTGGGGAATGATATGTGTCCTACAGAAGGGTAAACGGTTCACAAGGAAAACACACGGGACCAAAACGCAGAAACTTCTAAAAGAGATTCCTAGAGCAATTTTTATAATGGTCCTGGAAGTCAGAATCATGGTATATCTCAGAGGGGAGCAGATGGCCACATAGCGGTCAAATGCCATGGCCAACAATATACCAGAGTCCACGACAAAGCTGTAATGCAGAAAGAATAATTGGGTGAGACATCCAGGAAAACTGATTTCCTGGGGACCAAGCCAAAAAATGGTTAGGGTTTTAGGGACGCACGTGTTAGATAATATGAGGTCAGTAATGGCCAGCATGGAAAGGAAAAAGAACATAGGTACATGAAGACTGCGCTCCACTGCAATAAGGTAGAGAAGGATACTATTGCCCACAAAGGCCACAAGATACACAAAGCAGAAAGGGATGCTGATCCAGATATGATACAGTTCTAGTCCAGGGATGCCCAAAAGGGTGAAGGCACCTGCATTGTTTCTGCTCAGGTTGTACATGGCCATTGAGGTTTGACTGAATAGGTTCTGTTCCTAAAAACAAAATTGCATAAAATAAACATTAGACAATTGTACAGTAATTACTGACTTATGCCCAACAATCCCTCCTTGGGCTCTTCTCTTCCCTATATATCATGAAAGCCCTTCCCATTCCTATCATGAACAGTGCTTATTCCTTCAACCAACCCTTCCTAGACTCCATATTCCTGATACTAGTTCTCAGTCATTTTCTCTGATCTTCCTTAAACAGTATTGACCCTGTGGCAATTGTAATGATTGAGTCATCCCTGAGACAACTTAATTTTTGTTATATACATTATGTAAGTGTAGAGGAAATAATCTAATCACAGGAAGAAATATGAAGAAACTAAAACAGAGTGACACAAAAAATGGAAACAAAAAGATAGCAGATAATTACATACTCCTAACCTTAAACAAAAATATCTCCTGAAGTCCACCTAAAATAAAGGAGTAGTTTAGAAAAACTTGTAAAGAAGTCGGCTTTAAGTGCTGTGTTCCTTAAAGGTCTATCTGTATGGGATCAAATTGAAACAGTAACTTGGGAGACTAGGTAAGAAACTGCAGGACACTAGATTTATGTTAATGAGAAAGCAAAATCTAGGAAAAAGAGTGAGAATGGTTACTCCACGCAAATAATGCAATCAGTGTCATAAAGTTTTACATAGAGACATTGTTGAAACAAATATAATATATGAGGGGTGCCAAAAAACCCCGGATTATTTTTCAAAGCTATGTATTAATTTTTTTTTAACAAAACAACCTTATCACCTTCAAAGGACTCTCCATTACACTGAATATAATTGTCAAATCTGCAATTTTATTCTTGGAAACATTTTTCAAACTCATGTGTTTGATGGCTGACACCACCTCCCTCGTTTTTTTTCTTCACCTCCTCTAAACAGATAAATTGCTGTTCTTGCATTTCCCTCTTCATTTTGGGAAACAAAAAGAAGTCACACACATCGAGGTCAGGTGAGTATGGTGGAATGGGCAAGAGAGGCATGCTGGTTTATGCCAAAAACTGGCACATGGAGATGGCTTTGTGAGCTGGTGAATTGTCATGGAGGCAAAACCAGTCCCCCATTTGCCACAAATCAGGCCTAGTTTGTTGCACACTGTTACACAATCTTTTCCGAATCTCTAAATAGAAAGCTTTATTAGCAGTCTGACCTGGTGGAATGAATTCCAAATGAACTATCAGTTGACATTTGTATTTGTTCGGGAAGTTGAAGAATGTCCAGAACAAGGTTTCTCACCGATGGACATTGCACCTTTTCTGAAATGAGAAAACCACTGTACACTTCAGTTTTCCCCATAGCTAGGCTCAACATCACAACCGTTTCTGTGGCATTTTTCCAGAGCAGGAAATGAATTTCACAGCCTCATGCTATTCTCTTAAATTGGCCATCACAAATAAGGAGGTTCGAGTGAAACTGCCTTTATGAAAAAATTCACTGTGACCAGAAAGAACCTTCCCGGGCAATGCCACTGGGTGCTCTAACTCATGTGAGTTGCTAAATGCTCGCCAACAGGGAGAAATGTGTACTATTAAAACTCTACTCCTCCCAGAGCAATTTTGGTTTGGGTGGGTTACCCCTCATAAATTGCAATTAAAATAACCAATTATATAGACTCCACTACGGACCCTATTCGACAGAAAGTAGTACTTTAATAAGATTCCTCTTACATTGTATGTATTTGTATCCCTCTATTTTTTGTTTTCTTTTTCTTCTTTTATTTTTGTTATAGAAACTGAAGCTTTAAGAATTAATCTTAGTTAAGCAGCCATTGAGTTAAATTTGACTCCCAGCAACAGAGACAGGGTTTATGAGACTAAATCTTTATGGAAGTAGATGGCTTTACCTTTTGCGGGCAGAGCGCCTGGTGGGTTTGAAATTCTGAATGAATGGCTTTCCAGTGCCACTGGCTCTCACCTGTACTGGGACAAAGACAGTATCGTTTGATCCTGCAATCAATGCTCTTTCATGCTGCTCTCTCACACCAGGAAGAAGTAATGGATTCAGAAGAGCTATGGAAAAGTAGCGGATAAAGAAAAAGATATCATTGGAACTGTAATCTGTGCAGAACCACCTTAATTCTCCCCTTATGGAAATGGGTATCCTGATATCCCTGATTTTACAGAGCCTAGGGAATTTCAGAGCAGAATGCTGTGCAATGTTTGATGCTTCATAAAGAACAATGTGAAATAGTATAAGGAGTTCATCATCAAAGTTACTCTGAATTTCATGAAGAAAACTTTTTTTTTTTTTAATTTTTTAAACATTTTATTAGGGGCTCATACAACTGTTATCCCAATCCATACACACATCAA